GTTTCAGATCATGTGGTATAAGGCAGAAATGGGGGGCTAAGCTCAGAAAGAAGGTGACTGTCCCCACTCCAACAACTGGAACTTCTCAGACTCTCCATGGGAGGTTCCACAATCCTATCCCACATCAAGGATGAGCCCAACTTCTCCTTGGAACTGCCCTTTTTCTCTTCAAAATGAGAAACTCTAGGGAAGTTAGAGAGAAGGCTGATAAGTGAGTGGGGTGTGTGGGGGCCATCTGGTAGCAGAAATGAAGTCAGGAAAATACCTTCATACAACATAGGATATGACAGCAGGCTGAAGTACTGGGGGAGGTCACCCAAACTGCCCAGGAGTCCTCAATGTCCAGGTTGAATGGCAATGACCTCACCCTTGAAGGGCTCCTCTAATAAGAACATGAAACAGACCAGTGAAAATGCCAAGCATGTGTTCAGCCTAATTTTACTTAATTTAGCTCTACTCTCAAACTTATTTTTTATTTTAAATCAAGGCTCTCTCCCATGGTCATTAGTAGTAAGACACAAAAGTCGAGCAAGCCCATTTTTGTTTACTAATGCACTTGGCAAAAAAGTCAGTTTGAGGAATGTCACACAGAGCACACAATTCCCTTATTTGTTCATACTGTTTTCAAAGCCCAGCTGTAAGCTCCAGCTTACACGCAGCCCACAGGCCAGCCTGGGACCTAACCAGGCTCAGGCTGCTGCAGACTCCTCTGTGTCCTTCCCCTGGCCTGGTAAACAAAGATGTCCCTGATGATCTTTCCTCTCTTCCTGCTTCTCCTCTTAACCCAGGCTCCTGGACAGAATGATTATGGCAGTTGACTTTGTGGAAAGGAGAGGAAAGAGAATGAGGTTGGGTTGTGAAAAGGATCTACATCCACCTTCTTGTTGGACCAGCCCCATGAGGCTGAACTGGCTGGGCTTCCCCTAGAGGGAAGAAAGAAAGGGAAAGAGATCCAGGCCATCTTATAGTCAATAAGAATGCTGATTCCCACCAGGAAAAAAATGGGCAAAGAACAGAATAATCTACACAAGAAGAAAGAAATGCTAACAGGCATATAAAGATGTCCACCCTCGCTAATCATTAAATGTTCCAGTTAAAGTATTTTGATGACATTTATTCCTTTTTGTTCAAATGTTTTGGTATGCTACATGTTTACAGTACATAATGATTACATACATCAGGGGGAGGTGGTATATGTGCATAACATGTCTTAATTCCATTTACACGTTGCTCCCCTCCCTCCCCTCCTTCCTCTCCCTTTATCTCTTGGTTTCCTTCCCAATTTCAAAGAATCTATCTCCCTATTTCCTATTATCTATCATTTATTTTGCTCTTTGAACTATTAACTAATACTTTGGGCTTCTCATATAAGAGAAATCATGCGATACGTAAGTGTGTGAGTCTGACTTATTTCACTTAACATTATTGTCTCAAAGTGCATCCATTTTCCTACAAATAACTCAAATCTATCCTTCTTTATGGCAGAGTAGTACTCCATTATTTAAACACCACATTTTCTTTATCTATTCATCTTTTGATGGCCCTGTAGGTCACGTCCAAGATTTAGCTATTGTGAGTTGTGCCACTATAAACTTGGATATGGATGCATCACTGTAATATGATGCTTTTAACTCTTTTAGGAAGATACTAAGAAGGGAAATACCTGGGTCAAATGGAATTTATAGTTTTATGTTTTTCAGGAATCTCCATACTAATTTCCATAATGATCGTACTAGTTTATATTCCCAACAATGTAGGAGGGTTCCTTTTCCCCCACAGTCTTGACAGCATTTGTTATTATTTGATTTCTTTTTTTTTTGTATTAAATTCTTTTATTGGTACATTGTAGGTATACAACACAATTACATTTCTCATTGGGAATTGTACCTTTACATGATGCATCTTGGTTCTTATTTTTTCCCCATTCCTAGCCCTTTCTTCATGCCCTCCACCCTTCCATATTTACAAAGACCTTATTTCCATTTTTTCCATTTCTCAGCATTTTTCCTTTCCCTTCTTTCCTTTCCCCTGCCCCTCCCACTACCCCTACCCCTTTGGACCTTTTCTTCCTATTTTGCATTATCGATTATTCATTCTAATCATTGGTACATTTTAGGTATACAATATAATGACATTCATCGTTGGAAATTTGCACCTTTACATAGTCTCTCTTGGTTCTTATTTTTCACCCTTGCCCAGCCCTCCCTTCAACCCCTCCAGTCCTCCCTATTTACAAAGATTTTGTTCCTATTTTTTCATTTTCTCATATTAATCCCATTCCCTTCTATCCTTTCCCCTAGCCGTCCCACTTCCCCTTCCCCTTTGCCTCTTTTCTTCCTATGTCACATTACCTATTATACATTTAGTCCTTATTTACACTTTCAGTTTCTCACACCAGAGAAACTATTCGGTATTTACACATATGTGTCCTATTTATTTCACTTAAGAGTATCGCCTCAATGTGCATCCATTTAGCTATAAATGTCTCTAATTTCTCATTTTTTATGGCTGAGTAGTACTCCATGTTATAAAAAAAACCACATTTTCTTTATCCAGTTTCCAGTTGCTGGGGATTTGGGCTGTTTCCAAGTTTTAGCTATCACAAACTGTGTTGCTATGAACATGGGCACACATATATCACTGAGGTATGATTCTTTTAATTCTTTGGGGAAGATCCCCAGCAGTGGAATAGTGGGGTCAAATGGGACTTCCAGTCCTAGTTCTTTGAGGTATCTCCATACTGATTTCCACAGTGCTTGCACCAGTCTACACTCCCACCAGCAGTGGAGCAGGGTTCCTCTTTCCCCACAGCCCCACCAGCATTTGTTATTGGTTGATTTCATGATAGCAGCCATTCTTTCTGGAGTGAAGTGGAATCTCAGCTTTGTTTTCATTTGCATCTCTTGAATGACCAGTGATGTTGAACATTTTTTCATGTATTTATTTGCTATTTCTACTTCTTTGTCTGAGAAATGTCTGTTCATTTCAGATGCCCATTTTTGGATTGGGTCTTTAAATTTGGGAGGTCTGATCTTTTTAAGTTCTTTATAGATTCGAGAATTATTTGATTTCTTGATGATAGTCATCCTTTGAGGAATAACATGGAATCTCTGATGGACTGTTGTTTTAATTTGCATTCCTTTAATTCCTTTTATGCATATATAAACCTTTTTTCTCCTGAGAAATGTCTCTTCATTTTACTTGTCCTTTTTTTGGGGGGGGGTACTGGGGATTGAACTTGAGACCTTGCACTTGCAAGGCAGGTGGCAGAACCACTGAGCTAAATCCCCGGCCCACTTGTCCATTTTTTATTGGGTCTTTTATTTGGAGGGGTAATTTTTTTAGTTCTTTATATGTTGTAGCTATTAGTCCTCTCTCCAAGGTATAGTTGGCAAAAAAATTTTCCCCGTTCTGTAGGTTGTCTCTTACTCTTTGGTTATTTCCTTTACTGTGCAGAAACTTTTTGATTTGATATAATCCCACTTGTTGATTCTTGATGTTATTGCTTGTGTTATTGGAATTCTGTTCAGAAAGTCCTTGCTTATATCTATGTCTTTAAGAGTTTTATCTATCTTATCTTCCTGTAGATTAAGTGTTTCTGTTTTAATATTTAGATATTTGATCCATTTTTAGTTTAGTTTAGTACATGGTGAGAGATATGGATCTAGACTCAATCTGCTGCATGTGGATAGCCAGTTTTCACCATTTGTTGAGAGGATATATCCAGGATCTGTTTTGGGCCCCTTTGTCAAAGATCAGCTGGGTTAATGTGCCTGAGGTTGTTTCTGCATCCTCTGTTTTGTTCCATTGATCTACATGTTGTTTCTGTGCCAGTGCCATTCTGTTTTTATCATTGTAGGTTTGTAACATAACTTGAAATCCAAGATTATGATGCCTCCTGCTTTGGTCTTGTTGTCCAGGATTGCTTTTGCTATTCTGGGTCTCTTCTAGTTCCATGTGAATTTTAGGGGTTTTTTTTTCTGGTTCTGTGAGGAATGCTCTTGGTATTGGGATTGTGTTAAATCTGTATATCAATTTTGGAAGTATGGCCATTTTGACTATATTGGGTTACTGATTATTTTATTTATTAAGTCTATTATCTGTTTAGTCATATCATCTTTGAGTTCACCAAGCATTTTATTTATGGGGTGTGTGTGTGTGTGTGTGTGTGTGTGTGTGTGTGTGTCTTTATTACCAATTAGTCTAGGGTTCTTTTGCTTGATTCAGATGGAAATCATGATTTGGCAAAGTGCCACTGTGCTAGCAGTCCTGATGTCACCAGATGATATTAGAAAATGCTGGAAGGCAACAATTGACACTGCCAGCTGCTGGCAATCACTGTCCAATGATAGCTTGTACCAGACACTATAGATCAACTCTTCCAGGTGGTGATTTCTACTGCAGTTTTTCATTGCTGCTGGTCTCTGGAGTTCTTAGTGTTAATTGCTCTTTTTTTTTTTCTGGTACCGGGGATCGCACTCAGGACTTATGCTTGTGACGCAGGCATGGTGCCACTGAGCTAAATGCCTGGCCCAATTGCTCTTTCTTTTGAAATGACTGTTCTTCTGAGTAGATTTACAGGAATTTTGGAGTCCATACTATCTAAGAAATAAATCACAAACAGGTTTACAGGAACACCAAAGTGAGTCTTTATTTTAACAGGGCCTGTGGTATAACACAGGGGTCTATTACATAGGAGGGAGCCATCCTAGACTAAACCTGAGAAGTACTGGGGCTGGAATTATTAGCAAAACTTGAGTTCTGTGGAGGACAGTGGAGCTTGCAGTGGACTTGGCCTGGGTATAGATCTGCTAGAGGGGAAGAAGGGGGGAAAAAATCACAGCAGGATCCTCTCTGGCTCAATCCTCCCTCATACACCACTGTGAGGGGAGGATCCTCAATAACACTGAACTAATTTTGAGTTGTAGACCAAAGACTCCCATTAACTCTGTCTTCTATTTCTAACAACAGGTGTACAGAGAAAAACTGACTTCCCAAGAATGGAGCCATTGGCAGTGACCTTGAATCCTCTGGAATCCACCACTCTGTGTACCATTAATGAATCCTTGAATCAAACAACTTGGTCATCAGAGCAAGTGACTGAGCCCCCATTTGATAGAGAAAGAGAAGACTATCATGTCTTTGAATCGATCTCCCTGTTCATTTGTGTCCTGGGAATGATTGGGAATGCACTTTTGACACTGTTTCTCATCTTCTGCGTCAAGAAGAAACCATTCATTGTCTACGTTCTACACCTCTCCATCGCTGACTTCATGGTCCTTCTCTGCTCGTCTATCTTACACCTGGTGAACATCTTCCACTTCTATGATGACACCTTGCTGAGCTACATCATCTTCCTCATAATGTTCGGCTACAATACCGGTCTGTACCTCCTCACAGCCATCAGTGTGGAGAGGTGCCTCTCAGTGCTGTACCCAATTTGGTACCAGTGCCAACGCCCAAAGCACCAGTCAGCTGTGGCCTGCATAGTGCTGTGGGCACTGTCTGTGCTTGTGTCTGGCTTGGAAAACTTCTTCTGCCTAGACAGGCCTAGATACCTAGAGTGTCGATATGTGTACCTATTCTCCTGTATCATGACGTTCCTCATCTTTGTGCCTCTCATGGTCTTCTCCAACTTGCTCCTCTTCATCCGAATCTGCTGTCACTCCCAGAGACGTCAACCAGCCAAGCTCTACATAATCATCTTGGCCACCGTGGCCTTGTTTCTGGTCTTTGCCATGCCCATGAAGGTCCTGCTCATCCTAATCCACTATTCCAACTTAGAGGATATGGCTATGTGGCAATTTATTCCCTATTTGTACCTGTTGTCCACTGTCAACTGCAGTGTCAATCCAATTGTCTATTTTGTGGTAGGGAGTCTTAGGAGAAAGAAAAGAAAGTCCCTCAGAGAAGCACTGCAAAAGGTCTTTGAAGAGAAGCCAGTGGCAGGCCCAAGTAAGAACCAGCTCTCTCCGACTTCAATGTCCTTTCCCCTCGGCCATCTTTGAGGGCAGGTTGGCTCAGTGTGGGAAAACTATTTCACTATTTCCTACCTGGTGACTCATCTAAGATTAAAAAGAAATTCCTTCATTTCTCCTGGAGATTAAGAATAATAACAAAACACACTGCCCACATGGACCACATTGCTGACTTGGTGGGAGTAAACATATCTGAATTCCTGCTCTCTTCTAGGTACTGAGCTCTAGGTATGACATGAATTGTCTCATTTAATCTTCTTAACAACCTTAAGAGCCAATGTTGTTATTCCGCCATGACAGACTGGGCCTTAGAGAAGTTTAGTAAGTTTACAAGTCCTGGATGGGGCTGAGCAAACTGAAATTAGAGGAGTCTGACCCCCCAAGCCCCCTGAAAACATAATACTCAGTACAGTCTTTGAGAGGCAACAGCATGAATTGTTTCTAGAACTGTCTTCAACCTATTCCCACTATCTTTCTCTGTGTCTGTTTTTAAAACCTTGTGCTCCTGATTACTCACAAGAAAGCTGTTTTTTTTCTTATAAAGGAATAGGAATTATTCTTGGAGACAGAAAACTACATGTTAATACTTATAAAGGGCCATGAGGCTATTCTATAGAGACACCCTTATTCACACATTAAGCATTCATCCTGGGTGAGTTGGGCAGTAGATTAGATGTTCTATAGTTCCGATATAAGTATTATTCTAGTCAGGCATGGTGGCACATACCTGCAATCCCATCATTCTAGAAGGTTGAGGCTAGAGAATTACAAATTCAAGCCCAGCCAGACAATTCAGTGACTTAGTGAGACTTGTCTCAAAAAAATTTTTTTTTATTTCTTTAAAAAGATGGAAAAAATATTTTTTTCAAAAAAAGGTGAAGGTCCTAGGTTCAATTCCCAGTACCGGGGTTGAAAAAAGACTGCCATCCAGGCCGGGGATTTAGCTCAGTGGTTCCACCGCCTGCCTCACAAGCACAAGGACCCGAGTTCAATCCCCAGGACCAAAAAAAAAAAAAGACTACCATCCTATAAAAATTAGAGCATGAAAATTCTCACTTTCTTTTTTCTTCTTCTTCTTTCTTCCTACCTTCTCCCTTCCTTCCCTTGTTTAATAAGGGATATGCAGATACATGTATATATACTTGCATAAAGTATAATACATTGAAGAATACTTTCTTTGCAAAATATGTACAAGACAAAATCATCTATTTTTTCTGCATTATTTCAGAACATAGCTATTACACAATCTCTCTACCCCACCATCTCTCATTCTTCAATTGATTACTGAGTAGCTGATTTGAAATGCAGCCAATTCTTTTTGGAATGAGGTGTTTTCTTTTTTTATTACAAAGAAAACATTTTGCTGTAGTCCCAAGGCACTGCTGATGGACTTTGCTATTTTAAGCTGAGTCCCAGGCACTTTCCAGGATTATTTATAGATTTTGCTCATCCAGATATTTTCTTACTGGAATAGTCTTGCAGTCCAACATGATTTTCATATAATAAATTTTTAAATTTAATTCTATTTAATTAAGGATTTTACTGAATGTTCTAATTCATTGTGATTTGGACATTTCCAACAAATGATAATAATATGCATCATAGGGCATAAATTAGAAAATGTATTTTAATAAATATGACAATTAATTGATATCCCTTAATATATGGAGTGCTCAATTAGATTGAAAAGAAATATGTTGAGACACCAATAGATAAATGTGTAAGGGACATGGAAGGGAATTTATAATACACATGTACCACACAAACATATACACACAGCAAAAGGGCCATAAAACATGTATGAGCTCACAGAAGAAAGAAATGTATGAATTCACTAATAATCAAATATGTAAATTAAAATAACAATGCTACTTTAGCCTATACCATTGGCAAAGCCTAAAATATACAATTGCAACTTTTTTTTTTGGCAGAGGGAGAGGGGTGCTAGGAATGGAAGCAGGGCCTCCCTCAGGCCAGGCAACTTCCACTGAGTTACACCCCAGCTGGTAGTGACTTAGCCAGACTAGCTAGAGGACATTCATAGACACGCTGACAAGGGAATAGACTCTTCCATCTTTCTGAAGAATGGTTTGCTCTCCCCATGATCTGTCCTGCAATGGTCCATGATCTTCTGATCCCTTGGGCAGGTTCCTCCATGCTGAAAAGAAAATCTTAACCTGAATTTTGTTGGGCTGACCAGTTGGCAAATGACAGGGTGACAAGGTGTCTTCACCACGACTCCCATCTGTGAACATCATAGTGTGCTCTCCAGGATTCCTCTCTAATCAAACATGTGGTTGTGGGAAATACTAGTTATAAATTGCCACCAGAACAAAGACTCTATCTATCCAGGGCTCCAGATACTCCACATTTGACTCAAGAGTGAAAACAGGCCTCTTCCAAGCTGGGTGTTCAGAAGCATTGTTTCATTTTCTTGACAGCTGCATTCCTTCAAAAAACTGCCCTTTGGGCCAGGGATTTAGCTCAGTGGTTTCACCACCTGCTGCATAGGCGCAAGGACCCGAGTTTGATCCCCGGTATGAAAAAAAAAAAACTGCCCTTTAATAGGTTTGACTATTCCTGATAAATGTGGTGAGAAATTGCTGTAGCAGCCTTCTGCTGTATTTGTGGGTGAGATGTGCTTAAGGATGTCATTCACCTCATCACAGTGTCCATCCTCTTTAGAGATCACAGGATCAGGAAACAGTATGCTGCTGATTACCTATGAACCTGTACATATGACCCTTATAGCTAATTTTTTCTTCTTTTGCTTTGACTATAAAAACCTCAAAAACAAATTTCTGACTTACTTTAAGCAACTCTACAGGACTATATAGTAGGTGTTTTATGTTCCCTACTACGGCTTTTTATTTCCTTACATAGTTACTCTTCCCCTACTATCTGTAGTTTTTTATTTCAACCTTCAGTGTTCACTTTGTCCTGGTCAACCACTCTAATGACAGAAGAGGTATAAATAAATGTAAGTTAATTTAAAATAGCAAAAGATAATATCATAACCTCCCATTAGCCTCCCAAAGAGGCCTTTTGAAAAAGTTTGGAAATCACAGGTCAGAACTAGAAGCTCTTAACTGAGACACTTTATTGTTTTCTGATACTGATTCTGTGTCAGTTTTAGGGAAATATTTTATTTTATATTTTATACTATTGGGGAATCTGAAAAACCTACAACATCTCTAAATGTCTGTTTTATCCCTATTTTATTTATTGCTTCTTTAAATAGCAGTATCCATCCATAACATATCTTCACTTCCTAATAGGAAGGAATGATGTCAAATACTATTATATTACTGTTACACTTAATGTATTAATTTATCAAACAAATACTTCTTGAGCACCTCCTTTTTGTGGCATGGTTCATCGTACTTTGTCTGAGTTGGGTCCCCTTGGCCCCAGCTGATAGACCCTGAGGCTGAGGCCATGTCTTATTCCCCTGTGTGTCCAGTACCAGGCAGTTTGGGCACCTAAGAGGCATCAATAAATGTTTGCTTAAAGAAATAACTGACAGTAAAGTGTTATTCTTATAATTCTTGCTTTCCTTTGAAAAACTTTTATCTGGCTGTGATAGCCAACCCAACTCCATCTTGAGCCTCAGCACCATTTTGTACCTGTGCTTGAACAAAGCACCCAAAACCCCTACATCCTGCTTGGCAGTAAACTTGCTGTAGTTGCAAGATGTTTTGTAGCTCACCTAGTGTGTGTGAGACTTCCTTGTACCCCCCACTAACCTGGCATGGTTCTGCTTCTGTAAAATTCTGCTTGCTCTCCCCTGAGCCCTCCCCAAGTGAAAGCATGATTTAAAAGGAGAAATCAAACTGCTTCCCATTGCCGAGGAAACTTTCTGGGTGCTAGCTCCCATCAGCTGCCAGCTTTAATAAATGGGCTCAAATCTGGCATAGAGTGTGGCGCATCTCTATTGTTTGAACTCACTCATCCACAACGTGGCACATGCTGTGCCAGGCATGGTGGCACATGGCTGTTATCCCAGGACTCAGAAGGCTGAGGCAGGAGGATGGTCACAAGTTTGAGGCCAGTCTGGGCTACATAGCGAGTTCAAGGCCAGCCTGAATTACAGAGTGAGACCCTGTCTCAAAAAATGAAAAAAAAAAATTAAAAATTAAAAAATTAAAACTTTTAACTGTGATGGACAAATAATTTTATGTATTTATGAGGTATAATGTGATGTTTTGATACATGTATACACCACGGAATGATTATATCGAGATAGTTAACATGTCCATTACCTTATATAAATATTGTTTTGCGTGCTGATTTCTCTGACTTATTTCAAATCTACTCTTCCCACAATTTCTTTGTCTTTTTAGTGCTGGGGATTGAGTATAGGGCCTTGTGTATGTAGGACATGTTCTGCCACTGAGCTATTCCCTTAGCCTCTCCTTTAGCAATTTTGAAATATTTAGTACATGATTAAATACAATCACCATGCTGTGCAATAGATCTGGAAAACTTATTCCTCCTGTCTAACTAAAATGTTGTGCCTTTTAGACAAAAACTCCCCAATCTCCTACCTACCTAGTTTTTGGTAACCACCATTCTACTCTTTTCTCCTTTAAATGACTTTTTTAGATTCCATATAATAGCATGTAGTATTTGTCTTTCTGTAATTTTTGCCTTTTTTCATCTCTCATTATGTTCCTAATTAATTAGAGCCAATACTGTATACTGATTCTTTGTTAGTTGTTTTAAGTGTGTTAGCACTACCTCCCAAGTAGATTGCAGGCTTCTTGGGAAGCCATCCATCTTTCTGTCCATAAAGTGATAGTGTCTGACTGTCTGTCTGTCAGTAGTGACGCCATAATATGCTACTGACTGCTTTGTAAATATCTAAATCAAAGTTATGAATAAGCTGGATGCAGTAGTGCATGCCTGTAATCCCCATACTCTTGGAGGCTAAGGCAGGGAGCTGCAAGTTCAAACTCAACCTAGACAGCTTAGCAACTTAGTAAGACTCTCGGCCGGGGATTTAGCTCAGTGGTTCTGGTGCCTGCCTC